GAGGCTCACAGGGCACATAGAATCATGAGGGTCCAAAAACTTAAGAGACATAAATCATTGACATATTATTATTTGTATGTGGGGCATATCTTAAAAAAATAAATAAATAAAAGAGATTTCCTTCTTCCCTCAGCCTGGGCGTCCATGGATTTCCCTGGGAGTTCTGGCAGAGCAAAGGCTCCAGTAACACGTGTTGTGCAAGAGCAGCTGCTGCTTTAGCCAAAGGGAGAAGCAGCTGCGTCCCACAGTTGGTTGGAGAGGAGGGAAGGTGGTGGTGGGGCCTGCGAAGGACTCCACTCTAAAAGCGGACGTTTATTTAAAGTAATCAATCCAACAATAGGCAATCTAAGGATTGGGGAGGGAGAAACCTAAGAGGCAGCCTTTCTTCACGAGTAGCTGTTGCTTTTCATAACTGCGCAGTGGACACAAAAAGGAAGTTGGTGAAATCATACACTAAGAGATTGCTGGCACGAGTTGCCGATGGAAAGGGCTCACCATCCCAATAAAACCTGATAGATCTACTTCTTCTGAACCACAGAACCGGAGTCCACCCCAGTCTGTCCATCCCTCCGATTGCTCCTCTTTTGCCTTCATCCAGCTCTTTTCTCTCCTTTTCCACCTCCCACCGCAGGATCCGTACCCACCACACACCTTCCCTCTGTCTCCAGAATGGAACTGTCTTCCTGGGCAGGTCTGTGCTCAACCTCTCCCTTCTCTCCTCAAAGGGACTGCTGGAATAAGGGGGAAAGTAGTCACAGAGTAAGAGGATTTAAAGAGGAAAGACATGAGGAAGGCACAGATGAACTCAAGACTTTGACTACAGCGATGAGACTGCTGCTTCACACCGTTTCCCCGTGGTCTTTAGAGCCAAATGCTCTTACATATACATACAACATTTCTTCCTTTTTCTTTCCCATTCAGATCCCTTTTTAAATCTGTTAAAACAGACATGTTGTTAGACAACGGTCTGTGGGGGACAGAGGAAGAGACAAGAAAATGGGAAGCAGAAACACACTGTGCATTTGGTAAAAGCATTTTGCTTTATGTCATTCATTTTTTTCATTCAAAAATACGCTTATCCATATCAGGATGATGAGGCCTGACTAATTCTGTGCATCATTATAAAAATCCACCTTCTTACTGAAAAACCACATATTAACCCCTCTTCTGACCTCATCTATGCAATTTTGCCAGAACCCCAGAAATCGTTGTCTCTATGCTATAGAGGTCCGACCGCACTACTAGCGCTGGGAAGTGAGAAACAAGATGAATGTTGGCAAGTGTCAGAAGATAAATGACACCAAAAACATTTGCAGAAGTAACAGTATAACTTCAAATACGCAGACTCAAGTTATGATGATTTTGGCCCTAATCTAGATGACATGGCAAAACGAGAGACTGTTCTAGTCAGTATCTGTGAGTGTTTTTGTCAATAAACTCTTAAAAGAGAGAAGAGAAGTGAATGGATACTGGAAGAACTGTTAGGAATTTCCTCATATTACAGATTCCTTTGATGTGAAGAAAACAGGAAGCTGTAGTAGCAGGGACATCCTCTCTTTGTTAGGTTCTACTCAGATGCACATCCTCAAATACACACGTCCTATTACGCAGCAGAAGAGTCCCTTCAGCAGTGCCTGGAAAAGAAACAAGAACAAAATCCTTCCCCGTGGACTTCCAAGCCTGCAGAAAGGGAACGGGGACTACTTTTAGGCAAACCTTCAGCATTTTCTCACTATCTATCCCGTACTGAGATAATCAGACAAGGACACTGCTGGGTTGTATTTATTTCACTGTCTTGACAGATGTCATTTGCTTCCAAAAAAACCCAACTGAGACATGGGAAATGGATGTTGGGATGTGCAGGACAGGGGCAGGTGCTGCCATCCCGGTATGGGGGATGCAGGCGTGCACCAGGTACTGCAGGAAAAGGGATTTTTCCCTTCCTCCGGAGCAAAATGAGCGCTGGCAGGCAGAGGAGAAGGAGCCTCATTGTGCTGGCTGCAGAGGAGGCAGGAATTCCAGGAGGGGAAAGGTTCCCTTTGAAGCACATGGCACCAAGAGCTTCCCAGTGACCATGGCAACAGCTCAGTGGGTTCCCAGCCTGAGAACCGAGTTACTACAGCCCTGCCTCGGCAACAAAAAAACTCTGAAAGAAGGGAAGGGAGAGGGGGAGGTGGGGTCGGGGGTGCGGGGGAGAGGAGCTGGAGCAGAATTAGCCTGGCAGAAACTGAGCGGCTCCCTGGTAGGCAAATCCAGCCAATAATGCTGGTCGGGTTCACGGGGTTTCCTTTTCATTTCCAAAGCTTTCTTCTTCCTCTGTCATTCCCCTCCTAGCCCTATTCAGGAGCTCATGAGATCAGTAAAGCCCGGGCCTTTGCTTTGCCTGCGTGCAGCATCGCCTCAAACAGGGCTGCACTGTGATCAAAGGGGAGGCTAAATCACAGCTGCCACACACACCCCTTTCCCCATCAGGGCCCGGTTTTCACGGGCGCTCTAACGGGAGATGCGTTTTCTTAAACTCTTTCATTTCCACTCCACCATATAAATCTGACTAAGAAGGATGAGCAATTAAAAAAAAGAAAAAAAAAAATCTATATGGAAACGGACACGTGAAAGTCCCTACAGCTACCGATCCCATTCAGCACATGGATAAACGAGTGGAGCGAAGCTTCTGAAAACTCCGACCAGGGCTTTACTAAAAACAAAACAAAACAAAAAAATCCCAAAACAAAACAAAGCAAAAAGCCCCAAAACCAAAACACCCCAAATCAAAAAAGACCACAACAACTAAAAACAACAACAAGAGTAAAACCATACATCTTTGTACCAGATTCGTGTGTGTCATGGAATTTAGCTCTACAAACAGCTTTTAAGTAGTCTCCACATTCTACTTCACAATATTCCAAACTTTCCACAATATCATCTCTATTTTCTTTCTTTTCCTTTACTATTAAACTAAAGAAACCCTCATCACCTATTCCTTCATATATGAATGCATTCCACCACACAGACACAAGCAGTATCTCGGACTGGATGACCTCCAGAGGTCCCTTCCAACCCCACAGCATTCTGTCATCGTTCCATAACCTTTTCATTTCTATATTAACACAATATATTAACTATATTGACACAAATGTTCACCAGTTTTAGTGAAATGAGTTTAAATTGGCACACTTAAAACAAGACTTACAAATTCTTTTATGGTTTGAGTTAGCCTGAGCTTCTGAATGCATTAATTTATGATTTAGGCTGACGAGGTTATCCATTCTTTATGGACGTAAGGATGATGGACAAAGTAAATGTTGGCTGAGCCTGGATGACTCTCCACATGCACCCTCTCACTCACAGTGCCGATGAGATATCCAAACTAGCTTTCCCAGTGAGAAGCCTCCAAATGAAACAGAACTGGGCACACGTCAGAAGCTGGAAGGGGAAGCGCAACCACAGACAACTGGCAGAATCTTTTCATTTCACCCTAAACTCTGAGGCAGACTTTCAACCATGCCCATGACCGTTTTAAAAGCAAGTCCGTAACTTCTCTCACCTTCCTGGCATCAACATTATTCCTACTATCAAATCAATAGGTCTAATTGATCCACCCACATCGCTTTCCCAACAGAAAAAATTCTGCTTTCATTCCACAGAATGGCTTCTAATGCAATTATGAGCTCAGAATAGATACTAGAAGACCCCAATGGCAATTCCAGCATTAGGAAATAAACAGAAGCTGAAAAGGGGAGATCTATCTGGAGGTATAATTGATAGTACGGTCACACTTCACTAGACAAAGCAGAATTCTTGTGATCTAGAAGTTCAAATGCTCAATTCTATGTGCTCTACTACTTCTTTTAAGGAGGTGAGAATATTCACATTCAGTGAAGTCTTACTGTTACCCCCCCTAAATCACTCAGGTGGATACGTGCGTAACAAGGGGTTGCTTTGCCATTCATCTCACTTGCAAAATATCGGGGTACTGGCAACACCAGCAAAGCTGAAATGCAGTATCTAAAAGGCCAGTTCTGAAACGCTGCCTCAGCCCTGCACCTTGTAACACCCACCTCGTCTCCGCAACAGATGCTGCGGCTGGGCAGGCTGACTTTAAGAGTTTTGGAAAAGCAAGAGCTCACCACGACTCTGCTGAAAGGCAGACATAGTATTTGTCTAGAAGATCAAATAGTGCAGGACAAGCCACCTTGGGGGCAGGATAAATCAAACTAAACGAGGAACAAACACTCCTTGATGTCTTCCTCCTTTTCTAAATGGAAGAAGTTCCATTTCCCTTCACTGTTCAAGGCCACCTCTCCCCCACTTTATTTTCTTTTGCTTTCCTTTCTCTTTTTCCTTTTCCCTCTCCTTTACTTTCCCTGCCTTTCTCCTTGTGTTGCCTTCCTCCTTTCCATTCCATTTTTCTCTTGCTCTCTCCTCTCTTGCCCTCCTCTCCCCCTCTGTCTCTTTCAAGTCAAACAGCTGCTAAACCCAAAAACCAACCAGAAAAGGACATATATACACATGCAGCAGGTTTGATATTTATCCAGGCAAAACAGAGGTATCTGTCCTGCAATTAAAGCAAAGAAATCTCTTCTAGGGTTGAAGGGTCTCTTCCCCCCAAAAAGAAAGTTAATATACATCTTCTGAGAAAATTGTACCTACGGAAAACCAATAAAATGCTTTCTTTTTGACTGCTTTTGAGAAGAAGCTTCCTGTGATTGAATTCATATCACACTCGCAGTTCACCCTATTTCTACTCCAATACTGCAGCGTTTGCAGAAATCTTTGTCAGGTTCCTCCAGAGCTTCAAAGGGAACGTGCTCCCTCAGCTCCCCCATCACCACCTCTATCAGCTGAGGTTGGACATTGCCTTTCCCTGAAGCATCCAGCGTGAAAACAGATGAAACAGGAGTATTTCGTGGACTAAAGGCAGTTTTCTCTGGTTCTATTTCTTGCTGATTTTTCTCAGAAAGGAACTAACCCTTCCCAGAAACCCCAAAGCACCCCTTTACCTTCCCCAGGACCGTGAGGCAGGGCTTCGGCTCCAGCTCGGGCTGTTCCAGTTTCACCACTCCCACCCAGCCGTACTCATACAGGTCTTCCTCATCGTTGCTGTTACACAGTCCCAGGGGGTGCATCTGAAACAGAACGGGAAAGAAACCTTCAGCCAATCAACAGAATTCAAAAAAGCATACAGATTGCTTTGGAATACCTCAGTCTGTAACAAATAAACTTTTATTTATTCAGGTACAGCAGAAAAACTGAAACATGAGGCTGGACACATCTCATCTTTACCACACAAGCCAAAGAAAACCACAGACTGGTATCAAAACTATGACAATGTTGTTTTCTGGTAGCTGATTATAATAAGAGAAGATTATACTGCTCAGTAATTTACAAATATACATATATATATATATATGTGTATCACTAATTTGTGCAAACCAGCACCATGTAACGGTCACTGATGCTGCCATCTCTGCATCACCAGCTGGTTAATTTGTCCTTTTCTCCCTCGTTTTATACCTGGACTGTCATTTTGCAAGTGATTGAATACAAGGAGAGCGATTTCCATCATCTTTGGGGCCCTGACTCTGAGTAACTGGAGTGATTACTGTGAAACAGTGGAAACATGACAGTGATCTGACAATACAGAGGTTTTCCCACCACTTGTTATTTTTCAAGATTCATCAACCAATCCACGTGTATTTTGAGGAAAAAACAGGCCAGGAAAAACGCAGTAGTAGACACATGGAGTGGAATCCTCTGCCCAACTCTTAATTCATCTTTTTTTTTTTGGAGTTACTATTTTTGTTATAAATTACTGCCTATAATCCCACACAGATGAGCAGTTCAACATCCTCTGCTCAAGGCTCGGGACAGGTCCTATCACTGAAGATGAACCACTCAAACTCCACGTCTGATGGAGAAACTATTCAAGAACAAACCCAGGAAGGGAGTTGGGCAGAGAGTGCTTTCTCCAAAATTACCAGGGCATATATTCCAACATAATTAACCCCAAAAGGAGTCCATGGGATCCTTTAAGTAAACACAAAGCTTTAATCTATATTAAATATCTAAAGGAGGAGAGAACCGTTCCCTTGATGTAATTCCCTTGACATACGCTGTATCAATTGAGCTTTGAAACCATAACCCATGTATCTAAGAAGTTTCTAGTTCAAAATTCCTTGAAATGTGCTGGGGCACTTTCCACACGCCTGAAAGGGCAGAACTGAAACCGCGACTCAGGTGCTTTTATCCGAGGTTACAAAATCTGTATACATTGCCCAGGGTTTAAAATAACTTCAAAAAGAGCCGCGTGAATTTTAAGTGGGTTAGTGTTACAGAGCAGCCAAACAGTAAACCAGAGGGGGAACGTTTTACCCCGTAACTCTATCACCTAAAAAAAAAAAACAACACCCCCCACACAACAGTCCTGATGATTAAAAGAAAACTTCCACCCTTTTGTCCTTTTTCCTCTGGATAAGGCATTATAGTGTTACAAACCACCACATGAACAGCTCGGGATCTCTTTATACACCCTCACGAGATGAAAAGTCTTGGTCTTTTTTTTTTCCCCCAACCATACAAAAAAAAAAAAAAAAAAAATGCTGTCTCTACCCACTTTAGTCCAGAAAACATCTTGGAAGAAGGCCAAGAGGAACAGAAAATTCTTTCCACAGCCTCTTTCCTCCAGAATTCTGTTATTCCATAAAAGCTTCCAAGTGTGAATAGCCCTTTAGATCGGTCTCCAAGCTCATTCTGCAGTTGTGTCCCTGGAAATCGGGGTAAGCTCAAAGTTGAAAGAGCCTCTTCTCTTCCTTTCACAAAGCCTGTGCTTCCTTACCTTTTAAAAAGAAATCAGTGATTTTGTCCCTTCTCAATGACAACTGGCCCGACAACAATCCCCCAACACCTGAGAAGACAGCCTTCCTATTTAGAGGCCAAAAAAAAGCTGCACATTACACACAATTTTAAAGGCAGTTAAATATTTGCACTGTAGAATATTAAAGGCCTCTGAATAGGGTTTTCAAGACAATCAGGAACTGGCGAGACAAGCACTCGGCGTGCCCCAGCTCCAGCATCTCACACACAAGGCACACATTCGGTGCAGAACCGGGCTCCCAAGCATTTAGCAAAATCAAAGTTGCATTTCTGAACACTCCCTTTTTCCTTCAGAAAGGCAGTGGCCTGGAAAAGGACCTCGGCACAGCTTTAGTAGACCAAAAAAAGTCATCAGCCTGCAAGCAGCAGAGCCCTCAGAACTCAAATAGATGCCTCACTTCTATCAAGAACTGACAAATCACTTAAATAAAAAGCTTTCTAGACCTTTGGGGTGCTGCAGCTAGGAATTCCGTATGATTTTAGACTTCATTAAATAGGGGGAAAAAAAGCAAAAAAACTTTTCAACCATGATACAAATATTAACTTGATGCACTTTGGGAAGGGAAGGGCAAGACACAGGATTTAGCTCTCCAGAAGAGTTATCAGCAAAGCCCTGTTTGCAGGGCTCGGGTCAGCTTCATGGTCAGACCCCCATGGAAGGAGCATTAACTGTCCAGAATAAATTCCCTTGCTCCTGTAATGAGAGGCATGACCAGAAGAAGCAAACATGAGAACCAGGCAGAAAGGAAGACGGGGAAACATACCATGGGGGAAAATATAACCCCTATTTTTAAAACAGGAAAATGGGAAGACCCAGGAAACTACAGGCCAGAGAGTCTCACCTCCTTTTCCAAATACCAACAGCCCCTGCTTCCGGAACCCAGTCCAAAGAACTACATTTCCTAGGATGCTTCTGAATGCTATCCTGATCCAACAACCTGAAAAAGGATCCCTGGCAAGTTTGTCAATAGAGGAGAAAAAAATTCATCAGGAGCTCATCCCCTCAGCACAGAACTCGTGCCGTTCACACGGTTGGATTCACCCTCAGAGAAAGACATTGTCAAATTTTTCTCCAAACCCACAAATTGAACCTGCTTGGAACACACACTTTTAGTTGCAAACTCTAGCAAGGCTGTACGATTAATTGATTACGAGGAAGAAGTTGTGCCCTGGCCAGCAAACCAACCCAAACACCCATCACAGAAGAATGGGCCATGGTCACAGGGCCATGCTGGTACAACCACTGCTGTGCGAGGACAAAGGTGACCACAGCGAGTGGATCCCACCTTGCAATCTGCTCTAGGTGGACCTGCTTTGGCGGGGGGTTGGACTAGATGATCTCCAGAGGTCCTTCCCAACCCCATGTGATTCTGATTCTGTAGCCCAACCACCCCAGCACAGAACGTCCACCTTACACCTCCTACCAGAGAAGGGCTGAAGGAGGGAGAAGACCGAACTCTATTAAACCACCACACAATGGTCAAATGATCTCACACGTAAGAAACCTCAAACCCAAATGCAAATACCCAGTGTTACCAGTAAGCAAAACTACCAGGGTGCTGTGGGCTCCAGGCTGGCAAATGCAGAGAACTTATGAAGTACATCTGCAGGCTACAGGCTAGAAACTCCCGAGGATTCTGTTGCATCACACTGGAATCTCAGCAGAGTAATTAATGAAATATAAATTATATTTTGCCAGCAGTTCTTCCTCAAAGTCCGTATGTTTCAGGAAGGGACAATTGACAAAAACATTGCACTGTTCAATTAAAACCATGTGTGTTGCAAAGCCCAACTGTTCCTAGACTATTTGTTCCAGTAAATCTGAAGATCTACAGAACCAACACAAATACTCAGCGGAAGGATAAGTCAGACACATTAGTCACCAGCTCTGTGTAACCATTAACACATCAAGGGAACTCATGTTCAAGTACCCAGTGTCAGCTCTTCTAATAAAACTGCTTTATGAAGTCAACAACAGGTTGTACAATCAACGATTTTAATCTTATCATGACCCGAACTTGAGAGCACAACCTTTGTCTCCACCTCCAGCACTTCTTCCTCTGGGCTCTGCGTGGATTTCTCTTCAGTTCGTCTCTCTGGGTGCTCTCCATCTGCTCACATTGTTCAGATTCCAGTTTTTTTTAAATGCAGATAATTTAAACCTCCATTCAAACCAGCTTCTCCATCAAGCTTGACCTGATCTCACACCTTGTGGACAAATTACCCATAGCAGTCTTACCACCTTCCTCAAACTTCTGTCCCTATCGCACCTGCCAAGAGAAGACATTCAATCCCCCACCTCAAAAAAAAAATATTTAAGGTTTTGCATGACGTTTTTACACCACTTCCAAAAATCCCTTATTGTATCTGTTTCCACGGGAATGTCCATCTCTTCTTTATAGATCAACTCACCTATTTCCATCCTACCCACTGCAACTTTTTTCTCCCTGAACAGAGCCCTGTAGCAATAGCCTTCCTGACCAGCAGCGTGAAAATCCTGCTTGTGGTGCCTCACTCTGAGCAGGCAATTTCCACCCGCCAATCTCTTCTCTGCAGGGATTTCTCTCTGGCCTCACATCCCAACCAACAGCACTTCATTCCCACTTCCCGCTGCGACTCCAAGGGCTAACAGGAGAGCCAGCTCCAGTTGGCCATTCATTCACAGGGTTGGCTTCCTTCCCCAATTCACACTACAATTAAGGATCCCAAAGGGCCTAAAGACACACAAAAAAAAAGGACAAAGGGTAGATTCACACCATGTGAAGATCGCAAGTGAGCTTCAACCTTCAAGCCATTAAATTCACATGCCACCAAGTAGTTACTGGCTTGGGTGTGGAAGCAGGACAGTCATGTCCACACGCACCAGGGTGATCCCACTGGACTGCTCTGCTGGCTTGGCTAAAGCCAGGCTGGTGTTTCTGGGTCTCACAGCATCCCAGTAGTTTGCAGAGACACAGAGCATGTCAACACCACAAACAGATTTCAGTTACTGGCTCAAAGTTGAGGTGGCAGCTGGTCATAAGTTGAGTTCCTCCAGAGTTGATATGAGGTCTGATACTATTAAAAAAATCACTATAGAAGAAGATATATGGAAGATAGGACCATGAAGTTTGCAGATGACAACAAACCTGGAAGAGTGGCAGATATGCCAGGAGGGCATAGGAATGGTAGATATGCCAGAAGGAAGGGCCACAAGACACAGCCTCTGTGGCAGGCTGGAAGACTGGGCCACCAAGAACTGCAGTAGGTTTAA